GTGACAAAGGACGCGAACAACAGCAGGACACGGATTGTGACAGAGGCGATCCCACAGAAACGAGGGAACATTTCAGCATTTCCATGGCTTCCCTTCACAGCTTCTGGGCTCTGGAGTTGGGGGGGAGCTGCAGGAAGAAGCAGCAAGGTTGAATTTCTGCTGTGCTGAACAATTCCGTGCAGGGAGCTCACAGGGCCAGGGCAGGAGTTGTCAGCAGGGCCAGCAGCGTTAATGCACATCCCATTGATCCCCGTGCCTCAGCAGCGGCCAGGGGACAGGAAATCTGAGATTTTGTGTCATCAGAGCTCAGACGTGGCTCAGGGGAAAGGGGTGCTAAAGGATTTCTCCCTGGAGGGACCAAAAGGGTGGGATGGCCATGACAAAAGGCAGTTTTAAATGTCACCCGTAGTTAATGTCGCACTGGCACCAGCAGACCCTGAGAGTGCACCAGGGAATGCTCGCAAAGGCAGAGCATGAAAGAGTTCAGCAGGAATAAAAATAAATAAAAGCGGGCTGGAGAACAGGAAAAAATGAGCTGGGAAATGCTGAGGGGGCAGCCAGGGGGAAGTGAGGGTTAGGAATGATCTGATCTGAATCCCCAGGGAGCATCAAAGGCACGGAGACACATCCACAGCTCAGGAGGGACTGGGCTATGGCAACGTTTGGCCAGGCAGGGGGAAAATCCCACAGCAAAATGAACGGGATCTGCACCACTGACACTCTGGGGATGATTATCCCAGACCAAACATGTCCTTGGATCACACAGGGGAGGATTTCTTTGGGGTCAGGACACACGGGTTCCTTTCTCAGAGCTCCACAGAAGTTCGGATGTGGAAATGGAGCCCTGGCACTCCAAAGATACTCCATGAGAAAGAGCTTGGCAGGAATTGTTTCTCATTAGCAAGACACTTCAATATAGGCTCACTTTAGAAACTGTAAAGTACACACATAAATCTCAATCTCTGTATAAATTATTCACGTTATGCACAGTCATATATTGCGTGCTAACCCACCTAAAAAAAAAGGGTTTGCTCAAAATAAATAAATCGATTTTACCACTGTATAAAACAGCAAAACGTTTCAGGTCATTAGTGAGTACACAAAACATTTTTTTCCGAGTTACCATCTTTACATTTGGGTTAATAAATCACCTAAATAAAATGATTGCAACTCGAAAAAAGAAGAAGAAAAAAAAACCCTGTTGTATTTACATTATAGGAAGTTATAAAGCAACCATAAAAATACGGAATGGGCAGGAAAGCACTAAAAACACCCAATAATCTCGAAGCACGAGTGCTCCGTGGAGACGCAGAAAGAGTTAAGCAGCATCGCAGGCAGCTGATGCCATCTTCTGGTGTCACTTCCAGCCGTGATTTACACCCCCCTGTGCCGAGTCCGGTCGGATCAGCATCAGGAGGGGGATCGCTGCTGTTTTCAGTGTCCTTTGTCCCGGGGCAGGGCTCAGTGAAGGATTCAGGGCTCAGTGAAGGATTCGGGGCTCGGCAGGGACATGGGGAGGTGGCAGCAGTGGGGACACACGGCAGCGATGTGACACACACGAGCCTGAGCTGTGCCCCGCTCGCTCGCTGCTCTCCTGGGCAGGCACAGAGCGGATATTTTCACTGATATTCCCGAATTGACAGGGAGGGAGTGGGGACAGGCAGAGGTTGTGGTTTCCCACCACACAAAAGGATTTAAGCTGCTTTATCTGGTACGAATTCTGTTATTGCCTCCGTTATTGCCTCCCTTCCTCCTTCTCCATCATCCTCCCTAATTCCACTTGTGCTGGAGTTAAACCAGAGCCCCATGGATGGAAGGCAGGCTGGACTAAACAGATTTTAATATTCTTAGTCATAGAAACAATCCTAACTTCAGGAAATTTGTAAGGCTGTGAATGGAAATCCCTGCAATGGATTTCCCAGAGAAGCTGTGGCTGCCCCTGGATCCCTGGAAGTGTCCCAGGCCAGGCTGGACAGGGCTTGGAGCAGCCTGGGATAGTGGAAGGTGTCCTTGCCTATAGCAGAGGGGAGTTTTAAGGTCCCTTTCAACAAATCCCATTCTGGAACTCAAGGATTCCAAAAGAGATTGGGTTTACATCAGTGTTACTCCCCGTTAGTTTTCAGATTTTAGTCCTATTTCAGCTACATTAATTTCATTTTATTGAAACTAGAGTTACTAAGTTACAATACAGACTGATTAACTGAGTTAAATTCATGGCAAAATGTAACTTACATGTGTGCTCGTTAATTTTTTTGAGATTAAACCATTAAAAACCATCTAAAGGACACAGAGATTGCATTTAGAGACATAAGCAAGTCACCGAGAAAACAGGGAATGTATCCTGAAACTCCTTTTTCCTCCTGAAAGGCACTTCAGAAGCAACTGCTCTGCTCAGCTCTCCCATCAGGGAAGGACATTTTGGGTCCTGTCACTGCAGCAGGATGGCACAACCCAAGCAGAGCAGGGGTCTCCACATCCCCCACTGCTGCTGGGCTCCTGCAGGGAACACATCCAATGTTTCCCACCTCATCTGCTGCCCGGATCAGCAGGGATTATCTTCCATGTTCCTCTGTTCTGATGGAAACACTTGGATCTTCTTCAGTTTACCTAATTTAGGAAAAATTTTCTCTCCCTCATCTTCCTGCTTTCCCAAGCAGCACTTTGCTGGCTTTCATTTACCAAGGTTATTCCCAGTCTTCCCAATTAAAAGTGTGAATGTTGCAAACCCCTCAAAGTAGCAGAAACTGAGCTTTGAAACTTTCTCTGCAGGCAAATCCAAGGGAGCCTGTCGGGATGACAATTTAACACACACCAAAACTCCCCTCAATCCAGAAATAAATACAAATCTTATCAGAGAAAGAACCACCATTTTCTAGGTCCTGACATTTAAAACTCTGCATGTGATGTGAAGTCCAGCATAAATTGCTGGAGATAAGCCAGGATTCCACAATCTTACCTGAAAGATATTCCCAATACACACCAGAACAGAATCCCTATTCCAATCCTGCTGCACAGATGCACAAATAAGGAAATTCAAATTGAACAACATCATATCCTCAACATGTTTGAACAGCACAAAACCACCTCAGTCAGTGGACAAAGGATAAAATATTTTATAGCACCAGTCCTTCCCCTTTCTCTTTTTCTTCTTTTTAATGAAGATTTCCATGGCCTGCAGCATCATCCACCACTCCTCCCCTTTTCCTGCACTTGAGGCACACAGAAATTCTGCAATGACTATTCCAGTTCTGCTTCCCAGAAGGTTTCATCACCACTAATCCTTTAAATGAAAACCATTCCCCATCTGGCACTTACCATCAGAGCCTTGGGACTTTATGGAATCCTTCTCTGCACCTCACATTTTCCCAAAATCCATTAAAAATTCGAAGCTCCAGCTAAAGGTTTTTTTAAGTAATTAGATGAGGATTAGACCACATGAAATCAGAGATACACAGCAATCTCAGAGACATCTTCTGGCCCAATTTTCCCTGAAAATGATCCACTGAAAATGATCTTTGTAGTGAGAAGAGTCCATGCTAAGTGTACAGCTTTCAATCTGCACAGGAAATTACTTCCCGTTTTCATTAAGCCTCCAAAGGGTTTTGGGGATGGTAGTGAAGCAAGGTTATTCCTAGATATCAAGGACAATAATTTTTTTTTTTTTTCTTTTACAGACTCGGATTTTCAACAGTTCTTTCAAAAAAAACCCAAATTCATTTATACTTCAGACTATCAGCCATTCCCTGCAATGAGCCCAGTTCTACAAAAATGCTGGAAATTTCACATAAAGAGGAATTTTTAGGGAGCAGCAATCCCAGTGAAGCCACAGGTGCCCCCCAAAGCTGCCACCATGCCCCACCTGACCAAGGCAGTGCTGTGGGATCCTCTATTCCCAACAGGAATAATCTAGCCTCACCTCTCCCTGCAGACATCATATGGAATAAAAATAAAGCATCAGTTAAGCAGAAAAAAAACCAGGTAATTTTAGACATTTGAGTTGGTGATGAGCTCTGAGATTTAAATTGTTTTTAGCTGCCAGGACTTTTAATTCACACAAGGCAAGACAAAACAGGTTTAAACACAGCTTGGATTAAAAACAGTTCTTTATATAGAAAGCTAAGATGGAAAATACACTGACTGCATTGCACAGGTCAAATTTTCCTGGGAGGGTGGCTCTGGACTAAACAACATCTCCAGGTTCCTTCCAACCTCAGTGATCCTGGGATTTGGAATACAGAAACATCCAAATGGAGAGAGTAAAACGGCACAAATTCACCAGGCAGGGTGAGAAACTCTGATTGCCCATTTTCCCAGGTGTCAGGTCCCAGCCCAGCACGGAATTACCCCATGATCTGCAAAGAAGTGCAATATGCCAGGATCAAAGGCTCAGAATCGCTGCTTGCACACACTGTGAAATAACCACATATGCACCATGGCCAGGTTTTGATATGTATTTTTATTTCCCTGCAGTTTTCACTTATCAAGAACAAGTAACAGGGAAAGTTGTCTGAACTAGTGCATAAACAAACATTCGGAAACACCACTACACGTATCTAATGTACAAGAACCGTATAAAAAAAGTCACTAAAACACTACACTACGAAGGTGTCCAACGCTTACAGTCAGACTTTTTCCAACCCGTTACTTGCCTTGTAGCCACAGGAAAACTCTCCAAAATTGAAAAGACAATCTTGCCACAACCCTCCCTCCCCCCACCACACACCCTCCCCCCCCCCCCCCCCCCCCCCCCCCCCCCCCCCACCTGGGATGGCTCCATAGCTAGACATCCAATAATGAATTATTGCAATGATATAGAATGCAATACATACCTGGTAAAATATCCTTTAATGTGGTGTGGGTACAGTTTGAAAGCCGGTTAAAATACGCAGTCTTCGGATAAAATGGCATCAAGGTGAAAATTTTCTCAGATCTGCACATTTGGAGATGTGGCAGATGCATAATTTTCCTAGTCAGGTTTTTTTTTTTTTTTTTTTTTTTTTCCTCTCCTGTGTAATTATTTTTTATAAACTGGTATTATAAATAGAAATATACATTCAAAATATATGGAAAAGTGAGTTACTACATTAAATTTGCATGTATCGATCCATCCCTTTCCCCTGCACAGTAATAGAAAATACTATTTTGCCTTGAACTTCATATTTGACAGTGAAATGCCACTAAAGTATTTACCAAAAAGTCCATCTAGTCAAATTGTGAAACAAAATGAACCAAGTGAAAACTTTACATTTCCTTTAGAAAAAAATTACAAGAATTTTGTTTCCTAGCTATGAATCTTTAACTTTTTTTTTTTAGACACAAAGTTGCATTTATTTGTACAAGATACAAAATGTAAACATGGCAAAATAAATAGTTTAAACAAGTGATGCAGGATCCCATGTCATGCTCATGATCCCATTAAAGAATTATTTTTTAATCCATTCAGTTGCAAATTCAAGTGCAAAAGCATGATGATGAATATCTACTATTCAAGTAACAGAAATAATATTGATGATACAAATAAACTATTTTACAAGGTAGTGATTTTCCCAATTTTACAAAATGTACATTATATATCGACTTAATACACGATATAATCCGAGTCCATTCAGGTCTGTGTGAGTTCTGTGTGAGCCACAGAGTGCTGTGTTTGCATTCAGCTGCAACAGGAAGGAGCACACCACAGCTGGGGACACTGCTGGAGGTTATGTCACCTCCATGGCCACTGTGGTCTCTGCGATGCCGTTCAAGCCCAGGCGTTCTGGTTCATGGTTCTCTCTGTGAGGGAAGGGAAATGGCACAGTCACAACGAATCTCCTCTCACTTTTATTTATTTCTTTCATGTTTGTACACAGCTGTTCCCTGGAGCAGGCAGGAACCTTCACACACACACACTGCAAACCTTAGCTGGAAGTAAATACATTCAACAACTGCTGTGTTTCAACAATGCAGTTCCTTCTGCAAGATTATTGCATTTAACTGTCCATTCCAACCTAAATTATAGATTAAATTCCTCAAAGCTCTTCTGAAGGAACAATGTCAAGCTTTGATAACTCAGCATTGGTTATTCCCTCAATGCACCAAGTGCTGTAATTCCCTGCCCATTCAGCTTCTGCACTGACTCGTTACTCATTTACTAATGACCATTTTTACTCTTCCAATTCACAAACATGACTTTGTTTTTTGAAACATCACATAATCCAGGAGAGACTTCAAACAAAACCCACATACTGCCATTTTCAGAAAAATCTGCCAAATGCAAAGCTCCTGCCATTCCTATGAAACATCCTCTAAGTATCCTGAAATAACAGAGCTGCTGTTTAATGAGAATAAATACCTTAATGGTTGGACTCGATCATTTTAAAGGTCTTTTCCAATCTAAACAATTATGAATTATGATTTTATATGCAAGATAAAGGGTTGTCGTTTTTCTGGTTTGTGTTTTACATAAATATGTAACACATATATCCATATGTAAACATAAAAATACATGTGCCAGCCTTACAATATTGGTACACAATGACTGACAGGGAACATGAGAAGAGTTTGACAGAACCACCTGAAAATGCTGCATGAGAAGGGACAAAGGAAATGGTTAAAATACAAACACAGTAAAATTTGACCAAAATTACTGGTGCCTAAAGGCAGGGCGAGTTATTTGAGGGGTTAATTTGTAAAATCAGCTCTTGTGCTTTGCCATGGCTGTGCTGACAGAGGTGGAACAGATCCCCTCTAGGGCAGAGCTGGGTGTGACTATGGAGAGGACACAGCCTGAAGCTGCAGCAGGGGAGGGCCAGGTGGGATATCAGGAAGGATTTCTCCCTGGAAAGGGCTGTCAAACACTGAACTGCTCAGGGAGGTGAGGGAGGTTGTGGT